GGAGGTATTTGCAGCACGAGGGAGTTTTGTGACCAGGAATGTCCTGGGGGTGTAAAATATGAGAAGTGAAGGGGGGGTGTGGGTCTGGCTCTGGGCACCTCTGCTGCCTCCCACATCCCCTCAGCATTCCCAAATAATCTTCCAGGGAAAGGGGGACGTGCCATGCAGTGAAACAATCCCAGGAATGCTCCTTAAAACCATCTCCAGGAAACATTCATGGGAAAAGTCACTGAGTCACTGCATTTTTCTTTGCACTTTTGGCACCCGAAATAATGCAAATCAAAGGCAACTCTGACGTTGGTAAGGGAGAGAGAATGATGAGGAGGACTTCATGGATATAAAAAAGCTAATTAATTACTTTATTATGCTATACTATACTATATGCATTGCATCTAAACTGAATCTGCCATGCACTCACCCTGCACACAACTGCTCAGAGCTGCACTCATCATCTGATTCCCTTGTGACTGTCTTGTGACAGTCTGACACACACACACTCTCCTGGCCCTGACAGGCCAAGGAAACAAAACATCCCCACTTTGGGTAAAAAATCTCCATATTGCATTCTGCTTTGGCACAACAGAGGCACAGCAAGTGATAAGAATTGCGTTCTCCCTTTCTCTGAGCTTCAGAGAATGTGAATCTCAGACATCCTTGGGAAGAATTGTGCCCCGCTTTTCTCTTTGGTGAGAAATGTGGCAACACGGGCGCAGCAGTGCTGCCCTGCTCCAAGCCGGAGCATCCCGGGCTGCCCGCGCCCTGCACCGGCTCCGAGCGGGGCTAGGTGGTGGTGTTGCATTGCCGGAGCTCGGGAGCAGCTGCTTAACATGCTTGGCATGAAGAGGGCTTGGACGGTGAATGATCCCTTGAAATCCCCGTGCCGGGGGCTGCCGCGCCCTCCGCACCCTCCTTCCCTCAGGAGATTACTTCCCTGGGTAATTTAGCGCAGAAAAGGCTGCTGGAGAGGCAGATTTGCTGGAGAGATCCTAAAAAGCAGCCTTAGAGGTGGGAGAAGGGAAGTGTATTCCCTGTGTGACCCTGTGCTTCTACCTCCACCATCCCACCTGCCTCTCAGAGAGAGGATTTTTCCAGATGGGTGGGTGGGTTTTTACTGCTGTTTGGGTTGCTCCCCCAATTAAAAAAAAAAATCCACTTAGGAGCAGTAATTGTGTGTCTGGAGCAGCTCAGGGCTGGTGGCACTGGAAGGACAGATGTACCCTGTTGACCTATGGGCTCTCCAGCTCTTCCTCCAACATATCCTCGAGGATGGAATGGCACCGCTCCTGGATGGGGTGGCACTGCCCCAGGATGGGGTGGCACTTCTTCTGAATGGGGTGGCACTGCTGCTGGATGGGGTGACACTGCTCCAGGATGGGGTGGCACTGCTCCAGGATGGGGTGGCACTGCTGCTGGATGGGGTGGCACTGCTGCTGGAGGTTTGGGTTCCTCTGCAGGGCTTTCAGCAGCTTCCCTGTCAGTCCTCCCTGAGGTGGGTGCTGGTACCAGCAAGGACTGGGCAGGGGCTGGGGGGACCCTGCTCCCCCTTGGTGGGTCCCAGCAGTCCCAGAGCAAGGAACTGCTTGCTCTCACAGCCCTCACGAAGGAGCAACTTCCTCCCCTGATTGGATGAATTCCTGCCCACAGCTTTCCCAAAGTCCCAGCTTCCACAGGGAAGTGCTGGCCATGGAGCTGCCCAGCCAGGGGATTCATCCCCCCTGTGCCCCAGCAGCTCTGCCCAGCACTACCCCATCCACACAACTCCCTGAGCCCAAAGCCAGCTTCATCCTCGTGCTCTGGGGACAGGGATGGTCCCAGCTCCAGCACCACCTGATGGATCTTCACCACTTTTGTCACCTCCTGGGTCCCTGCAGGGAGAAAAGGCCTGAGAGGGTCAAAAAGGAGCTGAGCCCCCAGCATGGAAGCAAGTCCTGGTCAACACCTGCTATTCCTATATGGATAGCATGGACACAACTGTCCCTTTTGGGGGGGGGGCACCAGCCCTTGGAGAACAACCTCTGACCTCAAGGCCACTGGCTGGAAGATGTCAAAGGGGTCACAATGTCCCCCTTGGGTATTTGCCAGCAGCCAACCCTGGTTTAGGACTGATTTTATTTTCTGCCTGCATTAGGGAGCAGAAATCCCTCTTTTCCTTCCCCTGGACTGCAATGAAGGATCCACAGCAGGTCTGAGCTCCCTGTTTGTATGCAGATAACCATTAGCATAGTTTGGAGGCGGCAAGGCCATCCTTTTGCTGTGAAACTTGATGGAAATCTCTTGGAAATCTCATTCCTCTGGGATCTACCTGCCATGCCAAGGGACAATTTTGGTTTGTGAGCTGTGTTGACAGTGGAAGGACTGGAAATGTCCAGTCCATGGCTCACATGAGGGGAAGCACAGCCAGCTCCCTGCAGGGACTCCATGGCTGTTAGAGAGGGACACAGAGAAGAGATTGTGCTCTGAAGGGATGGAAGTTATGAAAAATGTATCTACTTCCAAATTGATTCACTTCAAATGCCATCATTACCTTCAGTTTTGTTTGCTGAGAGCAGTTGGATCTGTACAGAAACAGACTGGGCATCACAGATCATTTTTTGGTAATTTTTGGCAATTTTTCATCTCTCTGCAGAATATTATTATTATTAAATGCATTCAAAACCAGAGCAGAAAAGAGCAAATGGAGCACGGAGATTCCCCAAGAGCTGTGTCCCTTCAGCTGATCATACCTGAGAGGGGCCAGCTCAGGGTCTTTCCTTCCCAAACACAATCATCTGGCCATCAGGTGCCATCCTGTCACACGCCATGTGTCACTGAGATCTGATGACAAGGAAAAGATGCTCTCAACTGGAATTTAAAGCATTACTCTGATAGATGACACCCCGGTGGGTGACTCCTGCTGACGATATTCATGTGATAGTTTGTGTTTAATGAGTGCCAAATAGAGTAAAACATCACAGGATGGGCTTGAAATGGGGCTTGAAATTAGGCTGAGTCTAAACTCAGCAAATATTTTAAGGCTGCTTAGAGTTAAACATCTGCTTAAATGCTCTTAATGAGCCAAGGAGTATTTTTTTTTCATTATTATTATTTTACTTGTCTTCTTTTCCTGGTTGTTTGTGGCCTAGGGCTGCTGCCCAGGATGAGAGCTGAGGCAAAAAAGGAGCAAGAAGATGGGAATGTGGCAAAATGGGTTTGCAGCCACCTCTTCCCCTCACAGCTAGGGAAGCTCCCTAGATTTTTATTCACTGTTGGGATGTCTTTCCAAGGGCAGAAGATGTGCCACCAGGTACAAAGTCTGCTGCTGACAATTTTGGGTCTTCTCACTGGCCATGACAGGACACAACTTCAGTAATTTCTGAATTATTTCCCTCAATAATTTAATCCTGGAATCCCAGACTGGTTTGGGTTGAAGAAGACCTTAAAGCCCATCCTGTTCCACCCCTGCCATGGGCAGGGACACCTCCCACTATCCCAGGGTGCTCCAAGCCCTGTCCAACCTTGTGGGTTTCTTGTAGCCATGGGCAGAGTCTCATCCATGCTCAGAGAGCAGATTTAGATGGGATATTGGGAAGAAATTGTTCCCCGTGAGGGAGGTGAGGCCCTGGCACAGGGTGGCCAGAGCAGCTGTGGCTGCCCCTGGATCCCTGGAAGTGTCCAAGGCCAGGTTGGACAGGGCTTGGAGCCCCCTGGGCTAGTGGAAGGTGTCCTGAGCTGAGACATCCACAAGGCAGATGCTCCCAGAGTTGCCTGGGTGTGGGTCCATCTCTCTCCACAAGCATGTCCTGGAGGGGACAGGAGGGGTGAGGACACAGGAAAAATATTCCCTAGTGTCATGCTCCTGCTCCAACAGCGACCAGCACTCGCCTTGGCACCACCAGGCCTTACACCAGGGTGACTTTGGGGGAACACAGGGCAAGGAGAAGCCCTTTGCCCAAACACAGGAGCACACAAACCCTGTGTGCAGAGGGCTCCCTTCTCCTGCTGAATCCCAAATTCCGAGCTGCAGCCGGCTCAGCAGCTGCTGTGTTTGCAGGAGATAGCATTGTGCACACGGCAAACATTGGATGACGGAGACAGATCCCCACCTTTCTGCTCCTGAGTTAAAACCAGCTGTTAGAGAGACTCAGCAGAGATCTGCAAGCTGGGCTTCCCTTTAGGGAATTGGGTGGATTGGCATTCTCCTGGGAAAGAGAGTATCTGGAAGGGGATTGCTCACTGGGAGCCCTGTTGGGATTAAATGGGATTTTTGCACAGGTGGACATGGGTGACCACGTCATGTCCATTGGAATCCATTTATTTAAGAGGGATTTGGGAACCTGGAGGACCATCCCTATCCTTCCTTGGTGTCTCAGCATCCCCTTTCCAGGCATGCTTTCTACAGCCAGGATTGACCTGGGATGATGGGGCAGGGCAGCCACTTCCTGGCAAAACACAAAGTAAAAGTGTGGGAGCAAAAACCTTTGGAAAATGTGACTCATTTTTCAGGGAGAAGTGAGATCAGAGGAGTGGTGGTTTGTGAACTCTTTTATTTTCACTCATACTGAAGTCCCTCTCAAAAACGTAGGGTGTAAAGTCCATGTGAGGAAAACACCAGGAAAAGACGCTGGTTTGGGTTTCTCCTCTTTTGCCCCAGAGGCTCCAGTCCAAAGACTGTTGTGCTTCCAACTTTTGATGTGGGAAGCTGCCACTAGTTCCAAGAGAAGCAGAGACAACATTTCTCCTGGAAGACCACCTCTCTCTTTAGGAACTTTTCCCTTGGAGAAGCTTGTGAACAGGCTCAAAGTCTGTTGGATTTGGGAAGGCTTGGTCCATGAGCACCTATCAGGAAACAGAACTGAAGCAAAGGAGTCCTTGGAGGCCACGTCTGATGGATACCCACCACCATTCTCAGCATCCCAAGGGAATAGGAATGGTGGGCACGGAAAGTTCTTTCTTTCTCCTACAAAGCCCGAGTGGGATTTGTGTTTGGCTGGAAGCATCACCCCTCTCCTCCTTGCTCCATGTCACTCAACCTCCTCAGGGTCTGGGAGATCCCTGTGCTTGGCATTCTGGATCAGGTCCTCGTAGGTGCTGGGGCAATAGGTTTTGTAGAGTTTCTCAGCCAGGGTGTTGCTGCCGGCCACCACGACCTTGCGGTTGCGGTTCATGAAGTTCCACAGGTGCAGCGCGTAGGAGTGGTTGAAACTGGGGCTTTTGTCCCACACCTGGTAGTACCGGCTCCAGGCTGGGTATGGGATGGGGTAGAAACGCTGCGGGTTGAGGAAGGAGATGTTCTGGCAGCTGTGGTCCTCGGTGCCTTGGAAATCTGTCAGGTTGCAGAGTGTTTTGAGCATCCTGGTCATCAAAAAGGGGCCCTGGTTGCCCCAGATGTTGCCGTTGTACTTGAGAACGAAGTTCTCCATGCAGTCCCAGATGAACTTGTGGCGGGCGGGGAAGCCGAAGATGCCGTTGCTGGAGAAGCGCGACTTCTGCGCGGCCAGGAAGCTCTGCTGGGGGATGGGCCGGATGGAGATCACATCCGTGTCCATGTAGATGCCCCCGTACTTCCAGATGAGCGCCAGTCTGCTGGCGTCCGAGCTGACGTGCACCCAGTTCTTCTCCTGCTCCGGGACCACCTGCGGAGTGGGAAAGGTGAGATGTGATGCCACAGGCAGGGAACGGATCCAACCCATCCATGGGGCTGCAAATGGCACCATAAACCCTCATCTGCACTGCTGCAAATGTCACTGACAGCTCTGGCTGCCTCCAGCCATTGGGTTTTACTGGGATAAGATAAGGAGCTGGAGCAGAGCAGCGCTTTGTTAGCATTAGGAATGCAGGAACACTTCCCAGGTGGTTTGATGGCACCTACAGTGTTAACTCAATGCCACCATGAGTCATTCCATGCTATTTTAGAGGGACACAACCCACTTAACACACTCCCAGATCCCTCCCAGCTCTTTGAACCAGGCTGAAATCTTTTCATTGGCATTTGTTGGCATTTGGAGTAATTTTTTCTCAGGATAAGAAAGACTTTGGAGGAAATCTGCCTGCCCTGCCCAAGCAGTTTGACCAAAGCTACTTGTGGGAAGTTTGCCCAAGGAACTTTTTCCAGGGTGGAGCTCACCAGATCCCACCTTGGCTTTGCATGTTGCTGTTATAGAACCTGAAATCTCCCCTATCTCTTATCTGCTGCGGGCTCCGTCAGAGTGAGGCAGCTCTATCAAGTGCTCAGGCAGCACATTTTGTTCAACCAGCTTCTGTTGGGGAAGATTATTAAGGCTGTTTGCTCAAAACACGTCTGCAATCTATTTTTACCAATGTTTCCTTTGCCAAAAAATCCGATTCTCCAGATAAGGCCAATCACGTATGCCATAAACAGAGAGATGAATACACAGCAGAACGCGGCCAAAATGAATCTGTTCCCAACCAAAACAATGAAAGTCACTAATTTCACACAGTCCTGCATTCCTCATTCCTTTTAAAGCCTTTTCCCACCCCTAGTTATAACTCTTTTCCTGTTTTCTACTTGTTTTAACACTCACCTGGTTGTACCACTGGAGCAGAGGGGTCTCCTGGAAGACGGTTTCCATCTGGAGAGGGAAAAGGAAGACATTCTTCATGGAAGACAAGAGGGAGAAGGCTGCGTAGCTGGTGTTCATGTCCAAGGCTGTCTCGTTGTTGAGTCCCCTCATGAAGAGGATGATGGGCCTGTCCTGGTAAATCCGGGCAGCGGATTCCACGGAGCACGACACCAGCGGGGGCGGCTCCAGGCGCTCCGTCGTCTCCAGGAAAATGATGCTTTTCCCAAGGTTCAGCACCTGCTCAGGTGTCAGGTAGTGCTGGGCCATGGGCAAGTAGGAGAAGACACAGCTGGACAAGAGGGAGATCTCGTACAAAATGCCCGAGACAAAGCAGAAACAGAGGCATATCTGGATTTTCCTCAACATTCTTTCTTTCCTGGAGCGTTTGGGGGCATGCCTCCGACATGGGTGCTAAGGACAGACAAGAAACAGCAAAAGGAAGAGCCAGTTATTGCTCAGCAGGACTGGGAAATGGAGCGACATGGCTTTGGACAGTGAAAGGTGAAGGCAGCTTGGTGACAGGCCTGGTGACAATCCCTCTGTGGGTCAGAGGGCTCTTCCCCCCAGGATGAAGATCTGGGGTCTCACCTCCTTGGCCCCAGCCAGGCAGGGGGAACCAGGAGAGGTCTTGGAGATGGGATGGGCAGCTGTGTCCCCATGGTGCAGGCATGGGCTTGGCAGAGAGGGAAGAACCCAGGCAGAGCAGGTGGAAAGCCTCACCATGGCAAGGCAAGGAGCCCCAAGGCCATCCCTGGGGCAACTGGTGTGGGAAACTGTTCCCAAGCACTGCAGTGCCATTCCAACATGTGCTTGTCCCAGGGAATCTGTGGAGCCAAATGTGGCCATGGAATTAGGTGCCCAAGGAGGTTGTGAGTGTCACAGAGCTGTGATTTCAGTTTGGGGTCTGTCACCCAGAGCTAAAACACCAGCATTTTTCCCAGGCTTTTTCCCAATCCATCCCTTCTGCTGACACTTCAACCGTGAGGGATGAGAGGGATTTGAGTCCTGCAGGGATGGAGTCTTGTGATGGACCAGAGGGAAGCAGATGAGGATAGAAAGTGGATGGTTTCATACTAGGAAGGAATTATGACCTACCTGGATTATAGTCCTGACAAATCTACATTTCCAGCACCTTCTCTTGCCCTGGCGGTGACTGTTGGACTCCTGCAAAGCCCAGCTCCCTGGTGAGGACACCCAAACCTTCTGGAGCATGCAAAGGGATTTCTGGAGGTACAAGAATGGTGCACGGCAGGAAACCAGCTCTGCTGCTGGCTCAGTCTCAGTCCCAGGAAAGGCGTGAGATCCACCTAAAAGGACAAAGAAGGGACATGTTTGGTGTGACCCACCTTGTGCCTGGCACAGCTTCCCCTCCCGATCCCAGCAGCACACGAGGCTGTGCAGCCACAGGGAGTTCCTGCTGGTAAGAGGCAGGATGGAATGGGATCTACACTGCACTGTCTGCTGACACAAGGAAATTCCCTCCTGAAATCACACCTGGTTGCACCTGAGTGGCCCTGCAGGGAGCAGGAGCCAGGGTCCAGCAGAGAGGACATACCTGGAATGACAACCCAATGTCCAAGAGGCCCTGAAAGTGCCCAGTGCTTGAATGATTGAAGGGAATGGAAGGAAACACAGCTCTGTGTGCTGGGATAATTAATGAGCCTCATTCCATGTCACCCTTCCAGCATACAGATAAGTCTGGAGAGGAGCAAGCCCCATGGAAATTCCCTGCCAGTGCTGAGCTTGTGCTTGGAGCTGTGGCAGCTCCCGATCCATTTCTCAAGAGCTGTATCTCATCAAATTAAATATTAAAGCAGTGACTGTTCCCATCAGTGCTGCTTCCCATGCTGCATAACAGATTTTGTTGTTTTCCATTCCAGCTGCACAAGGTTTCTCATCACATCCTGGGTTCCCAGGACGGCACAGGAGTTTGGGAAGAAATTCTTGGGTGTGAGGGTGGGCAGGCCCTGGCACAGGGTGCCCAGAGAAGCTGTGGCTCCCCCTGGATCCCTGGAAGTGCTCAAGGCCATGATGCAGCAAGCTGGGCTAGTGGAAGGTGTCCCTGCCCATGGCAGGGGTGGCACTGGATGAGCTTTAAGTTCCCCTCCAACCCAAACCTTTCTGGGATTCCATACTCTATGTTAATTTTTCCAATCCCATCCCCAGTTTCTCTCATTGTCCCTGCACTCCGCTGTGAGTGGCAGCACCCGGGGCCTCACTGCAGATATGGAATTTGAGCGGAAGACAGGGAATGGAGAGCAAATATCCGCGGTTTGGAACGGCCGCGTTCCCGAGCCTGCAGATAAGGCAGCCTGTGCTGCCCCGTGGGGCTCAGGTGGAACACACAGGTCCAGCCCAGCCCAGCCCCACAGGGCTTGGCAGACACCAGCACTGGCATTAAAATAAACCACAGTGCTCAAGCTCCACATTTCCTCCTGCCTTTCCCACCCGTGCCTTGTTCTCAGACAGGTGCAGTCAATTTACTCTGGTCATTTGAAAAGAAAACAGAAAGAAAAAGTTGCTCCCTGGCAGCTCTCTCACAATCTCAGCTTGGCCAGATTTTCAGGATTCTGGTTGTTGGTTTTTTTCCAGCCTAGAGTGGTTTGGGTTGGAAGGGACCTGAGAGCTCATTTTGTTCCAACCCCCTGCCACTGGAGTTCACATCCCTTAGACTCCAGAGCCAGAAAAGCTCAGGAAAATCCTTCCAGTCTAACCTGGGTCATCCCAGTACTGGGAGCACCCAGTGGTGCTCCTGTACCTTTCAGACAGGGACAGCTCCCACTAGCCCAGGTTGCTCCAAGTCCCATCCAACCTGGCCTTGGACACTTCCAGGGATGGGGCAGGGCAGCCACAGCTTCTCTGAGCACCCTGGGCCAGGGTCTCATCATCCTCACAGGAAGGAATTCCTTCCCAATGCCCCATCAAACCTCTGGCAGTTAAAGCCATTCCCCCTGTCCTGCCACTCCATGCCCCTGTAAATCATCCTTGCTGCTGCTCCACTACTGGCCAGGGGCTGGAGTCCCTCTGTTCCTTTTTAAATCTTGATGCCACTCCCCTGAAGCAGAAACCCCTGGCTTTGCTTTGATTAGAGTTGGGACCACGAGGACATTCCCATTACTGGATTCATATTTCTCCTTTGATGGCCGACAGATCCGATGTCTCAGGTCTTTACGAGCAGCCCAGCAAAGCCGTGCTCGCAATAGTCCTTCAAATTTAAAACAGTCCGGGAGGCATTTTATTTGCAAATTGTGGGCAGAGAATGAGGAGCCACTCCAACACCTCCCCGCTCTGTGCATGACATTGTGAAGAGAAACACGCATCTTCATCGGCTCATTCCGGGAAATTGTTTTGCTTGGTTGGTTTTCCAAAACCCCTGTGTGGCGAGTTATGAATTCTCATCACATTTGACCTGGAGGCTGCTGTTATCAAAATGTTCCCTTCCCTGCTCGAGTTAAAAGGACTGCGGAGCTGAATGTTAAAAATAAATCCCGGCCATTGAATAGATTACCCTGCTGAGTGGGATGATTCCGGGGATGCGGCTGCTGCCTTGATGGCCCATCTTGTAAAGAGATTTCTTTTCTTGGGGCAATTTCCGTGTTTCAAGTGCAGGATGAGGACGGCTGGGAGACTACAAGGGAGATTACTACAGATGCCTGTGATAACTACTCAAGGGGGCTGCGAGACACAGGCGCTGGGAATACAGTGGGATTTTGCCACCAAAGAGGGGCAATGATGCTGCTGGGTCCTGCCCCCACACCCCCTGCACATCACACCCCTGCAATCCCTGTGGTGAACAGAGGGATGACCCCAGGACAGCCCACGGGCACCACCAGTCCAGCAAGGACTCGGGCACTCAGGCTCAGCTTGAAAAGAGCTAAAATTCCTCATTTGCTAAAAAGGATTTTTAATAAATAAGTAAATAAATAAATAAGTAAATTAATAATCCCAGCACCTGCAGCTCACAGTTTGCCCAGCCCTTGAGCCCATTTCAGTTTTCTCATTTAAGTTTTAAGCTCTCCAAAGCGAGTGCTGCATCACAAACTGCAGTTCAAGCACCACGAGCAAATACTGCACATCTCACGGTCCCCTGCCCAACCCCACTGCCACTGAATCCCCATCCCCACAGCTCCTGGAATCCCTTAGGATTCAAAGCAGAGACCTCACCCCTCTCTGTAGCTTTCCCCTGAGAGCCGGTGGGATTTGCTTTGGGATGCAAATGCAAACAGGTTATTCCCCTGTTTCTGGGAATAACCCCAGGCCAGTCCCTGATCTCCACACAGACACGTCTGGTGAATACACACCGGTTCATTTTTGAGTCTCTAAGGAAATTACAATCAAGCCAATGCACGTGCACACACACCAACCCCAGCTTCGTCACATTTAACACCAGGGAAAGCGCTTCCCAATGGAAAACCTGTGCGAGGAGCTGTGGGGCTCATGGCAGATTAATTAATGCAGCCGATCCGAGCAAAGCAAGGAGCTCCTCACTGTGCTGTGCCACACCTGCCTGCCCATTCTCCACCTCAGCATGCCCAGGGCAGAGCCAAACTCACCTGAGGGCTGCCAGGAGCGGGCGAGGAGCGCAGGCTGCTGGGGAGCCCCGCCGGGAGCGATGCTCAGGCCCCGGGGAGCCCGAGGAGCTGCGCTGCCTCCCCGCCGTGTCCTGCCCTGGCAGGGCTCGCAGCAGCCTCATGGCTCTGCTGTTTGCACTGCCCTGGTGCCCAGATAAGGCCCAGCTGGGGCTGAGCTCTCCCAGCAGTGGGCAGTGCGAGGTCCTCCCATGCCAAAGGTGAGTCCCCGGCTCTGCCAGCGTCACAAAGGGTGGGCGGGACTGGGAAAGGGCACCTTTTGGGGGTGGCTTGCAGCACATTTAACCTTTTCTCTTTGTATCCGCATCCACACCTAGGGAAGGTGTTCTAGGGTAAGGAAGAACTTTGCTGAGTGGGATTGGTGCTCTGGATACTTCCGAGGGAGGCAACATGCAGGAGATTCAGGACTCTTGGACAAATAACCAATATGATTAAGCAGAAGCCGTTTATTGTTTGCTTTACACACATATTTATAGATTCTACACATGACTAAGTACACATTTCTTGATTTGTGTCTTTGTCTTGTTCACTCGTTTTCTGCCTGCATTTCTCAGAGTATGTGATTGGTTACAGCCTAGGGGTTTTACAATCTTCTGTTAGCTAGACCTTGTGGTCTTGGTATTCAGTTTCTCAGCCTCTTCTTTCTTAATTTAGCACAATTTATGTTTCAGTAGCTTTGACAAATTCTTCAGGCTCTGATAACAAACTGAGGAGCAGGCTGACTGGTGCACACTATGGCCTAACCCTTGCAAATGCATTGCAACAGCAACAACGGGGCCTTCTGCACAAACACCTCCCAAATAACACAGCACATCCTGCCCAGGCATGTGGGGAGGTTCCCAATCCCTCAGAGCCTCTGCTCATCCCCAGCAGGATGCCTTGAGAGGGGCAGGAACAGGGTTGGGTGACCCACCTCAGACTGGAAAGATTCCCCCAGAGCTTTCCTGGCTCTGGCGTGTAAGGGGTGTGAGCTCCAGTGCCCATCCTGTGCTGGGACAGCAGAATTTGTAAGGAGAGGTGGAGCTGTGGCATCCCAGAAAACTTCCCCGTGCATCCCCCTGACCCAGCACTGCTCAGCCCAGGTGAGGACACCACAGCATCCAGCAGAGATGTGACCCTTGGCTCCAGCCACCAGCAGCAATCAGGTTCTTTGCAGGTTCTTCAGGTTCTTCTCTCCTCCTCATCCCTTTCCTTTCTTTTCCTATATTTGGCCAAGCTGTATATCCAGAAAAACTAGGAGACCTGCAAGATTTGTCCAGCCAATGAGTGCTGGCATCACCACGTGTTGCACCCATTTTCCATCCATTTTCCACCCAAACTCCCACCTCCCTCCACCAGCAGTTCTTAGAAACCACCAAAAACATGCTTAGTGCATCCCTCTCATAGCCTGTGATGGCACCAAAAATCTAGCCAGCTCTTCAAAATCAGCCATGAACACTCCAGGGCCCTCCCGTTTGCTCGGGGCAGCCCCTCAGCCTCGGCAGGGTGCAGAGATCCTTCCTCCGGGTATATGGGAGGGCTGGAGGAGGATGGGAGAGCTGCTTGTGCTGCTGCAGGCAGAGCAAACAGCTCCCACGGGAAAGGCAGCGAGATACCCAGGGCTTAATCAGCTGATAAGAGCCCGGGTAATAATGCCGGGAGGGCTCCAGCTCTGAAAAACATCCCCGGGGCAATGACGTGGGTGAGGAGCCCAGGAGTGCCGGCACACCCCTCGGTGAGGAACCCTCCCCTTGGGCAAACACCCGCGGGTCCATCCTTTCAGGTGACCTGCAGGGATCCGGGGTGGCCAGCACGCAGCTCCAGCGCTGGCAGCTCCTCTGGGGGTGAACACATCCATCTGCCCATCAGCAGGTCCATGGCATCCCTGCCCACCGGGGATGGGTGATCTCCAGGGTGCCCTCCAACCCACAGAGTCTGTGATTACATAATGGTCCATTCCTCCCTCCCTTCCCAGGGCCCTGGGAAGTGTCTGCTGAGCCTGGAGGATGCAGCAGCACCAGGACAGAGATAGCAGCTGATAGTAAAAGTGCCAGCCCAGTTTTTATCTTAACCATAATATGGAAACTTCCCCATCCTGCCCCAGTTCTCCCCACTGCCCTAATGCCCTACTGAGACTCTTGCCACAGATTTAGGAGGAGATTTTTCCATGGAGATCACTCCAGTAGAAACTTCTAGCCTGGAGCAGCCTCATCCTGCCCCTTAAATCCAGATGAGCTGAGGCCAATCTCTTTGCACCCCCTGGATGCTGCAGGCTGAGCATCCCACCAAGGCTCTGCCCATTCCCTGCTCCAGGTGCCACTGCCGTGGCCTCACTGGTGCCCTGCCAGCCCAGCGTGGGAGTTTGGGTCCCCAAAAGTCTGCTGGGAAGACAATAAGCAGAGTCACAGCTGGTCCAGAGCTGGGGTTTGGGCTGTGGCCGCTGGGAGCTTCACACACACTAACACTAACCACAGGGAGCAGCTGCAATGCTGCTGCTGCTGCTGCTCTGCATTGCCCTCTACGGGAGCCTGTTTTCCACAGAAAACGGGAGTCTGGAGGCAGAGCCTGTGGCTGGACCTCCTGCATCTCCACGGGCTGGGTGGCACAGCCAGGGGAGGCCGAAATCACCCCTCAGTGTCACACAGGCAGAAGGAGGCCCCGGATCCCAGGGATGTCACTGGGGCAAAGTCAGGCTTTCCTTCCCTTCTCCACATCCAACACACTCAGAGCAACCTCTGGGAATCAAACACCACAGGAGAATCCCCAGAGTCACAGGGAAAGTGTCCCATCACCTTTGGTCTGCCTGCTCAGGCTGGGTTCACTGGGACATGGATCACAGGATCATGGAATGCTTTGGGTGGGAAGGACCATAAAACCCATCCCATTCCACTCCCTGCCATGGGCAGGGACACTCCCACTATCCCAGGCTGCTCCAAGACCTGTTCAGCCTGGCCTTGGACACTCCCAGGGATCCAGGGGCAGCCACGGCTTCTCCCAGAGCAGGGGAGCACTGATGAGGCTGCCTGGGGTCTGCTCTCCAGGAGCCCAGCCAGCCAGGGCTGGAGCTGCAGTATCTGCTGGGCCTGGACTGGGCAGAAGTACCATTCAAAAAGATGATTCAAAAGAGGAGTCAGGACCTGGAGACAAGAATCCCATGCAGATATTGCCATTCACCATACAACAAATTAATATTATAATAAATATTATCATAGCATTATATAGTAACATTATATTTCTGTACACACTCTTGGTATCACCCAAACCAGCCTGGCTCAGCCTTAAAAATAAACTTTTAAATAGGGAGAGACAGTGACCAGATTCCCTTTTCCTCTGCTGTTCTGAGCATCTCCCTGAGCCTCTCCTTGCACACCCTATATAAACATCCTGATGGACTCCCAGGAGCACCTCTGCTGTGGGGAAAGGCTGGGCCATTTGGGATTGTTCAGCCTGGCAAGAAGAAGGGTCGCAGGTGACCTAATTGTGGCCTTCCACTGCCCGAAGGAGCTGGCAGGAAACATGGAGAGAGACTGTGGACAAGGGCCTGGAGTGCCAGGATAAGGGGAATCGCTTCCCACTGCCAGAGGGCTGGGTTAGATGGGATAGTGGGAAGAAATTCTTCCCTGTGAGGGTGGGGAGGCCCTGGCACAAGGTGCCCAGAGAAGCTGTGGCTGCTCCATCCCTGGAAGTGTCCAAGGCCAGGTTGGATGGGCCTTGGAGCAACTTGGGACAGTGGAAGCTGTCCCTGCCCATGGCAAGGGGTGGCTTTAAGGTCCCTTCCCACTCAAACCATTCTGGAATTCCATGATCACCGTTTGGTTATTGAGGACCTCCCTCCACACACCCTCTGTGTTTTTTCATCCTTCTCGCTGCTCTTAACTCCTGGCATTTATACCTTTGGGTATTTATTGAAAGCTTCAGTCATTTTTTTTAGACTTATGCTGATATGGTAGAAAAGTAATTTACTCCTTTTGAGCAACAGGGAAGTTATAAATTAATGTTTTCTTAGTTATTTCCCCAAAAATCAATAGCTGTGCTTGGAAAACAATAAAGCACTTAGAGCTTACATGCAGATGAACACAAAAGGAGAGAAGCTCATCTAAACAGACCCAGAGTTACATCTCCCAAAGGAGAGCTTGGCAGTCAATTCACAGGGAGGCAGGGCCAGGAATGCACAGAGGGAAAAATCAGAGGAAGGAATGCAAGGAGCTGATCTGTGCCAAATTACAGCCAGTTGTAAAGCGATATCTTTGTGCTGGATTGGGCTGGGGTAGAGTTGATTTCCCTCAGCGGAACTGGGATGAGGCTGTGTTTGCCACACGCAGCTGGGGGAAGAGGAGGAAGAGAGGGATTCTTGGAGTGGTGGCATTTCCTTTTCCCTTCCCCTGTCTGTGTGATGGAGCCTGGCTTTCCTGGGAATGGCTGAACACCTCCTCACCCATGGATGAATTCCTGGGGTTTGTTTGCTTGTGCACAGCTTTTACTTCCCCTATTGAACTGTCATTATCTCAACCCACAAATTGTCTCTCTTTTGCCCTTCCAGTTCTCTCCCCATCTCCAGAGCAAAGGGAATTCAGCCAGGGGTGCTCCTAAATCTGCCTCTGCAGCACCAGGGCTTTTTCTGCTGCTAAATCAGAGTGCAACACCATTAGACTGGGGAGCCTCACGAGGCAGAGCCACTTTTATTTTCTCCTCCCATTAGAAACAGATCTGTTTCCTCTGAGCTGGGCCAGTGCAAACTGCCAGTTTACCTGCTGCAGATTATATTTGAGTCCCTGAAGTCCCTGCAAGGCAAAGAAACCCTCCAAGCTGAGCTCATCAGACACTTGTAGGGTTTCTGCTTGTGGGCAGGGTGGGCCAGAGCAAAGCCTGGTTTTACTGAACCCTACAGAGCTCCCAGCCCCTAAAAAAGAGAAACACCAGGGAGAGAAAAGCTCAAAATTATGGATTGCTTTGCCTATAAGAAAAGGGTTTCTTATAACATGAGAAATATTTGTAAATAATAGTAAATATGAGATTTTAAGAAGAAATTTGTCCCTGTGAGGGTGCTGAGGCCCTGGCACAGGGTGCCCAGAGAAGCTGTGGCTGCCCCTGGAAGTGTCCAGAGCCAGGTTGGATAGAGCTTGGA